CACCTCAAGCCGGCCAAAATCGTAGCTCGCAATGCCCTTGCCTCGTAAATCAACCTCCTCGCGCGTCGAATACGGTCAAACCACAACGAATACGTTACAATAGGCTAAGGGAACATAACCCAATCGAAAAGACTCGAAAAATATCGAAATTCATGAAATTTGCAACACCCGAGCCCCGGGCCCACTTCTCGAAAAATCAGAAAATTAACATCATCGGATTCCTTATCTCGCCACGAGTCTATACATACCAAAAACTCCAAAATCCGAGCCCAAATGACTCATCAAATCCCACTTTGAAATACCAAATTTCCAAGCCCTAGCTTTACCCTCTTTTGATGAATTTCCATAAATTTTTATGTTAATTCTACCATTAAATCATGTATTAAGGTCAAGGAACTCACCTCCAATCACACCTAGTCGAAACCCCTTTCAATTTCTACCCAAAAGCTCTCAAGGTCGATCAAAAATGGTGGAAATAACCCTTAGCTCGCGGAACAAAATTAGCTTTTAAAATCCTTCTCTGAACAGGCATTTTCGCATCTGCGGTTACCCTACCGCATATGCGACTACCGCTTCTGCGGTTCATCCTCCGCTTCTGCGGAAATAACCAGAACGTCCAGGACCGCTTCTGCGATCAAGTCCCGCTTCTGCGGACCCTGCTTATGCGGTCAACCATCCGCTCTTGCGGAACTCCTCTAAAGCGTGCGGACCGCTTCTGCGGTCAATATCCGCACCTGCGGACACCACACCTGCGGAATTAATCTGCTTCTGCGAAAATCCTGCCATTGGCCAACTCTCGCATCTGCGCCCCTAATCTCCACATCTGCGGAACCGCATCTGCGGCCCTTCTTCCGCATATGCGGAAATACCAGATATCAGAATTTCTTCAGCAATCACCAAGTCCAAAATCATCCCGATGACCGTCCAAAATCATCCCGAGGCCCCCGTGGCCTCAACCGAAAGTGCCAACCCATCCTAAAACATCATTCAAACTTGCTCCAACCATCAAAACACCACAAACAACACCAAAACCATCAAATTACATCGAATTCAAGCCTAAGTTCTTCTAAAACTTCTGAATTACGCATTTGATCAAAAACCCGACCAAAACACCTCCGAATGACCTGAAGTTTTCCACACACATCCCAAATCACCTAACGAAGCTACAGCAACTCTCGGAATTCCATTCCAACCCTCGAATCAAAATCTCACCTATCAACCGGAATTCGCCAAAATACTAACTTCGCCAATTCAAGCCTAATTCTACACCGAACCTCCAAAATCAATTCCGATCACACTCCTAAGTCACAAATCATCTCCCGAAGCTAACCAAATTACGGGAAAACACATCCGAGTCCTCTTACTCATAAGTCAACGTCCGGTTGACTTTTCCAAAACAAACCTTCCTTAAAGAGACTAAGTGTCTCATTTCCTTCTAAAACCAATCCAAATCAACTCGTTCACACAAGACTCTTATATTGAAGCATGAAAAAGCAGAAAACGGGGAAAACGGGGAAAACGGGGCGGTAACTCACGTGACGACAGGCCGTGTTGTCACATGCATAATTTGACAATTGCATTTCCGCATTTATCTTTTACATATCTAATTCAATCTACAATTTTTTTGTCATTTTTTTGTTGTCACAGGAGGAAGGCTCCGTTTTCCATAAAGGATAACCAAATTAAGCCTTGGTTAGACCTTGGAGTGGAAAAGGTTGATAAGAAGGAATGGTTCTATTCCCTGGCTCACCCCGGTCAAGTCCTCAATGACTCGGTAAGTATCAAGGAGTCTATTTCCAATATATGCTTTGTAGATATCTTGTCTTCTGTTTTGTAGTTTAATTGTATTTATTTTATAGATATCTATAATATATGAAGATGATTTGTAGTATAAATTGTAGATATGATGTAGGCATAATTCTAAATGTTGTTTTGTAGTTTAAATTGTAGAACTGTTCTTAGACATCATTTTATATTTTTTGTTTCTGTTTTGTAGTTAATTGTAGTTATAATGTAGTTATATGTAGATTATTTGAAGTTGACTTGCTGTTTATATGCCAACTATTTTTGGTTGCAGCACATTAATGTTTTAATGTATTACTTGAGGAAAAGAGGCAAGTATGGCCCCAATAACACGACTAGGTTAACCACAACAGATTGTGTGTTCAAGACCAGGATGGAACAAATTTATGAAAAGTTCATAAATTCACCTCCAAAAAAGAGGCATTCTGTTGTTAAACCCCAAGATGTTGTTGCAGAATTTATTTTGGGGTATAGACTACTTGCCATATTGCATGGGATGAAGTTGACTATGTGATCATGCCCGTCAATATTGTAGAAAAATTTCATTGGGTGTTGGTTGTTTTCGACATTGCAGACAGGCAACTTTATGCATATGATTCTATGATCTCTTCACATAACCATCAAGCTGTTGAATCCTGTGTTGATAAGTTTTCTGTTATTATCCCTTTGTATTTGTCATGCACTGGTTTCTATGGGAAGCGTAAAGACATTAACTTCAAGACTACAAAGGCATACATCGAAAAATCAGTTACCGACCCTCTTAACATTCAGTGGCTCGTTGGAGAGATTCCACAGCAAAAAGAAGGGTCACTGTAAAAAATCTATTCTCTCTTTCTATGCATTTAATTCTTTTTTTATTTCTAATCATTTGGTAAATATTTTTTAAATTTTGTATTCTACAGCGATTGTGGTGTATTTGTTGCTGCCTTTGCGGAGTATGTTAGCCTTGGAGATTTGTCAATTCCCGCAGAAGACCTTTCTGATATTGACCAACATCATAGACGCTATGGAGCGCTCCTATGGAACTATGCTACAAAGAAGCAGGAAGATGGGTCAATCAGTGAAAGTGATGTTACAAGCAGACTAGCAAGGAGGAAGGGTGCACCTACATTGAATGAGAAAACAAGAGTACAGAGAAAGAAGAAGTAGTGTCATGTATATGTAATTTAGTTGATGCTAGTTTGTAGGATAAGTATAGTACACAACTTTCTGAACAATTCCTTTGTGTTTTTATTGTAGCAGACCTTTTGTTTTGTTAATTTCTATCCAGTTTAGTAGTTCACTTGAAAATAACTTGGTGGTTTTACCTCCAGTTGTTTAATATTTACAGCAATTGTTCTTCATTATCTTAAACGTAGTTCTTATGTTGTCAGAATACAAATTATCTACAAAAAAAACTTCAAATTATCTACAATCTGAAAACACTGAATGTTGAGATTGTATATAATTTTATAGTTGAATATGTATATAATTTGTAGGGATTTACCTCCAGTTGTATTTAGTTTCTGTATATAACTGCCAGTTCAAGTTAAATTAATTTTTTTTAAACTTGTAGTTACATTGTAGATAATAAATATTAACTGCTATGTACAGAATGTAAAAAATGGAGGTAGATGCTTGACACAATACAGAAAAATATGTTAACAAACACAGAAACAAATTGAAGTTAACTACATTATAATCTTTAAAAACTTAAACGATTACACACAAAATTCTGTTAACTTGAACACACTAACCATTGTTTTGAAATACTATTCTAACTACATGATATTTATTTTTTTTGGGTGCATTCTTGCAAAATCTTTTGTTATGCCCTTCACCTCCACAGTTTCCACATGAAACCTTGTACTTCTTTGACTTTAATTCATCATATGTTTTGTATCTTTCCTTTTGAGGTCTTCCTGGCTGCTTTTTCTCTCCCGTAGGTGGATTTACTACTTCATCAGATATATGTTGTGGCACATTCCATTTGCTTTCATCAGGAAGGGGATTTACTGGTATTTCATATGTACGCAGTAGGCTCTCCCTTGTGTAATACGGAGAGCAATAGTTTTCATATCCTTCATTCCTGTCTCTTAAAGCTGCCAAAGCATGCGCACATGGAAGTTCATCAAGTTGGAACTGGCCACAAGTATATTTCTTGCTTTCAAGACACACAATGTACCGCTTCACACCATCTATCACAGTATGGATATGATCTGTTGAAGCCCTCACCTACAATTACATAACAAACAGAAAGAAAAATATTTACAATCATAAAAATATATTATCTCTAACTTATCTATAATTTATCTACAATCTACAAATTAACTACAATTTGTCTACAATTTATCTACAATCTGGAAATACTGTATATTAAAATATTATTTTTCTGCACCAAATAAGCAGATCTTACCCTAAGCTTCTGAGATAATGTACTGTTTTTCTCCAATTCTTTGTTGAATTTGTACCCAAGGTATGTGAAAGTACCCTTTGCCTAACTTCTCTTTCGTCCAACGTTCAAGAAGTGCCCTCATATACTCTAATAGGTCAAATATTGGCAGCTCTCTTGCATATTTTGTTACAGCATTCAACGACTCTGCAATATTTGATGTCATAATCTAAGTTCTATTCACCGTTGCATGTACTCTTGACCATCTATGATAGCCAATATCATAGAGGTATGATTTAACACGCGGGTCTATCTCTTTAATCTTCGACATCCTTTCATTAAATTCATCCAGAGTGTATGACCCTGTTGTAGCAAAGTACAATTCATTTAATTGTAGATGACCCTTCTTGAACTTTGCCCTTATATTTGTCCAAATATGCCACATGCAAGAGTAGTGTGGCACGCCCGGATAGACAATTGATGTTGCCTTCAAGCTACTCTCATTCCTATCTGAAACAACACACATTGAAGTTCTTTCGCCATATGCTTGCTTGAGTTGCTCAAAAAACCACTTCCACGATGCGTCGTTTTCCGAATCAACCACAGCATATGCCAAAGGCAATATATTACCTACATTATTAGTAAAAAAATAATTAACTGGCAGCTTTGAAAATGCATATAAAAACACAAATACATATAAACTACAATATATCTACAATGTATCCACAATTTATAAACTGCTTACAAAATAACTACAAAATAACTACAATTTTACCTGATGCATCCATTGTGCTTGCTGTCAGCATAATTCCCCTGTAGGCTGTCTTTAAGAATGTCCATCAACCACTACTACTGGTCTACAATATTCCCAACCACTTATTGATGTACAAAGATCAACAAATGCATATAAGAAGCATTCATCTGTTGTTTGCTTCAATTTAACAACTGAACCAGGATACGTCTTCTCAAGAATATAAAAATATTTTGGTAATTTGTTGTAGGAGTCAGCCGGATGACCTCTCAATAACTGTAAAGCCTTTTCCTTTGCCCTCCATGCTTGCATGTAGCTTAGGTTCACTCCGTGTTGGGACAACATGTCAGTTTGTATGTCCTTTGGTTTGTAAACTGTCTTGGGATCACAATACTTTGGCATGACCATGCTACCAACTACAACTGCAGTACGTTTGCGTTGTATGAATGTATCGTCCATTAAGGTGCATGTGTGTTGTCGATTGAAACTCCTGATCTTGAACATTGCAGAATCATTAATTGATGTTGCCTTGAAGTGCCAATTACAGTTTTCTGCAACGCATATAAGCCAGTAGCTACCAAAAATACATTTATAATACAAGTTATCAATGTAGATTTAACAAAAGGATTGTTTTAACATAAAGTAACACACTATACAATATAACTACTTTTCATCTACATATCACAAGGAAAATACTTTATAAAGGTCTTTTCGCAATTAATATCTTCATACCTTCTGTGGCTAGATCTTTTAACCCTGAATTGGAACTTGTGCATGACAGAATAATGCCTCATTGCAGTTGCAATTGTTTGCTTGTCTTGATACACTTGTCCTTCTTCGATAATACTTTGTGTATCTTCAGTTATTATTTCACTTTGATATTCCTCTATGACAAGAGACGCTGGCATATCAAGTAACTGTATTGTCCTAAACGAACCTGCATGAAAATAAAGATAAACAGTGTCATTACAATTTTGTAGAATATTTGTAGATGAATAGAAAATTTTGTAGTCAATTTTCTTTCAACATGGATTGTAGCTTAATTGTAGTATAAATGTAGTAATTTTGTTGATAAGCATGAAAACAATATTGCTTTATACATCCTAAAATTGATTTGTAGTTTATTTGTAGATAAATGTAGGAATTTTGTAGATATTATCGTAAAAGCAGACTTCTATAGAATTTGAAACATAACAAACCTGCACTTGTGTTCTCATTTGTAATAGCCAATTCCATTGAAGAATACCTCAGCAACGACACGCAGTCATGTCCAAAATCCCAATCATGCTACATTTTAATGGCAATTGGGATAGCTATGGCAGATTTAGAGATTTACAAGTTGATGGCATTGTGCTCGATGAGGATGCAAGTTACAGTATGTTGATTTCTACAATTGCAGAGCAATTAATGATTGATACTTCGAAAAAAATTGTAGAAATCAAATACATTGTGAATGAGAATTGTCCTCCAATGGAGATTAGGAATAATATGGGGGTTAGTGTGTATATGGAGACAAAAAAGGAGAATAAAAACTTAGGATCGTATCCGTTAATCATAAGTGTACGAGATTTTTGTCGCTTTTTTGAGTTTTTTGATTGACAAAAAAAGACGAAGAACAGAGAATCGGCAGAATTGAGTTCTACAATTTGACTTGAATTTGTTGAATATTTTGTCGCTTTTTTGATTAGTGCGTTGAGGAAAAAAGTCGACAAACTGAGATTTGTAGAACTGATTTCTACAATTTGAAATTGAGCTTCTGATTTCGACGAACTGAGATTTTGATTTGTAGCGATTGTGAGAATATCGAAGAACAGAATTTGATTATAAGTTGAAGATAAAGGATTTTCGTGATATGATTTGATCTGATTTACGCCAAATCTTTTTAGAATATTCTGTTCCTGAATTTTAGCTTGACAAATTAGGAAGATTCAGCTACTATTAATTAGTATTTAATGATTGGTATAATAACTGTAGAAAAAATGTGGACAGGGCGGGTAAATTAGAAACTATGCACATTTTTGGTAATATGATTTCATATATGGTATAGGAAAGAAAAAATCTCAATTTATTTTGATACGTGTTAAGAACTTCTTGGTATATTCCCAAACGATTTAATTATAATTAGCATGATTAATGAACGTCCTAAAGGAATATTAACTATGAGTGATGATTGGTGAATCTTTTTGGAATGAATCACGCAAACATAATTAAGGAATATTGTGGAAATAATATTTCTTGTTTACTCTTTTTCTCCTTTCCTCTATTAGAGAGAAAAGTTTAGAAACTTTGTTTTCCTCTTTGTTGCTAATGATGGTTCGTGGTCAAAGAAGTCCTAGACATGACAAGTTTAAAATTATAATGCTGTTGTTAATGGGGACACTATTATTACCATGAACACATCCAAAATCATGGCTTCTTCATCATGGAAATGCATAAGTAAATTAATAAGGCTGGTTGTATATCCATTAAATTAATTACTTTTTCATTAAATTAATAAGGTTGGTTGCATGTCCATTATTTGGGAATGAGGAAATTGATAAAGATGTCAGACATCGTATTGGGACAGGATGGATGAAATGGACACTCGTTTTCGGTGTTTTGTGTGACAAGAAGGTGACATCGAAACTTATGGGTAAGTTTTACATAGCGGTGGTCAGACCAACGATGTTGTATGGGCTGAGTGTTGGCCAGTCAAGACGTTCATGTCCAGAAGACGAAGGTAACAGAGAGAGGATGTTGATATGGATGTGCGGGCACACCAGGTTAGATAGGATCAGAAATGAGGTTATTCGCGACAAGGTGGGTGTGGTCCCAATTAAGGACAAGATGCGGGAAGCGCGGCTTAGGTGGTTTGGTCATGTGAGGAGGATGAGCACAGACGCCCCTGTGAGGAGGTGTGAGAGGTTGACATTGAAGGGCCTACGGAGAGGTAGAGGTAGGCCAAAGAAAAGGTGGGAAGAGGTGATTAGGCAAGACATGGCGCAACTTCAGCTGACCGAGGACATGACCCTTGATAGGAAGGTATGGAGGTCAAGGATTAAGGTAGTAGAGTAGGTAGTCTAGAGTGTTCATAACAGTAGTATTGGCACGCAGTCTCGCTTTCTATTGGTAGTAGGCTTTTATGACTAACCGTTGTTTTCTATCTTGTTGTTTTTATTCTGCTCTTATATGGCTTTTTGGTACTGTCCCTTCTTGTCTATATTTTCGTTAATGTGGTGCTTATGCTTTCCTGAGCCGAAGGTCTATTGGAAACAACCTCTCTATCCTCACAAGGTAGGGGTAAAATCTGCGTTCACACTACCCTCCCTACACCCCACGGTGTGGATAATACTGGATATGTTATTATTGTATGTCCATTAAATTAATTACTTTTTCATTTAATAACCCGCCTTGTCTAGGCTAGCTTGTTCGCACCTCCAGTGTTCCATCAAGTACCTCCTACCTTTCACTAACACGAATACCAATAATCCTACCGACCAAGAATTAGAGTAGATGGAAAGAAAATAACTAGAGTTTTTTGTGTCTATTGAAATTTGCAACCTAATCTTCCATGAGTTTCACCTACTTCATTTGGGATAGGAAAACCAAATGCATAAAGCCCATTTTCCTTCTTTCTTCAGCAGTCAACACAAAAGATAGTATAGTAATCACATTAAAACATTACAAAATTGTGTATATTTCCATTTCAAATGTTAAGATTAGAATAACTTGGAGCTGATGATTCAATTTTCACCTAATGCTTAGCCAAAAACTCTCTATGGATCTCTCATATAAGGAGCCAAATCCTCCTTTCATAATCCCCTCCCTGCCTATCAAATCCCCCTCTCCACACTGAATAAAAAGCTAACCGGAAGAACTAAGTAATAATATCAGAATACAATCTTAAAAAGGAGAAGAGGAGGACTTGCTAGCGAACAAGTGATCAATCGCTACCCCATTTTCTAGCAACGCTGTCTTTGGCAGAAACATGCGAAGAAACTTCCTCCTGAGAAACAGTACCAAAGCTGTCTTGGCTTGCTGGATATACTTTTCTCATAATCTGTGATGTTACATAAGTAAACCCGTTCCTTGCTCCTCGCAATGTGAAGAGCAGAGGGTTGAATATGACAGCAAGTATCACATCTCCTTTTGTAACTATCAAGTACTGCAGTTTTAGAAACAAAAGTATTTTGATTAATAAAAGACTAGTGGAAGTGGGGAATAACCATATTAATTGAATCATATAGCTACAGAAGAAACTCCTACCCCTCCGTTTCATTTTATGTGAAGGTGTTTGACTTAGCATACGGAGTTTTTTTTTTTTAAATAAAAAGGGAACTTCTGAAATTTTGTGATCATAAACATGCCATGACATTTCTGTAACTAGAAAATAATGCCATTAAGGATAGAAAGTGAAGTTTAAAGTCATTGTTTCTAAATATAGAAAGGTATCGTTCTTTTTTTGAAGAGGTTAAAAAGGAAAGAATGTCACGTAAAACAGACCAGAGGGAGTATACAGAAGCTTATGCAACTAAGAATAAGAGACAAGTGGAAGTGAGTAATAACCATATTAGTTGCAATCTTAAAGCTACGAAAGAGACTGTTATAAAGAAACTTATACAATTGCTCACCATGACGATAATACCCAAAATAGCAAGGCTTGCTTGTTGAGCTTCCTGCCAGAAATGGCCGTCGCCAGAGCCACCAAACCATCTACCCCACCAACCGCCTCCACCCGAATTGTCTCCTCCACCTGCTTCCTCCCTCCGTTTAATTTCTTTATCCCATTTCTCATACTCACTTTTCTTTCCTCCCAGAGCACTTTCTAAAGCTTTTCTAGCCTCCTCCTGTTTATATATGAAAAGACGCAACAGATAAGTAATGACCTCGTAGAAATTGGAAGGCACTTATAAAAGAAAAAGGAAACATTTGTTTTTTATAAATTTCGCATGGAGTCACTTTAACCGAATTTTAAGAACATGAGAAATTATAGCTACATCCAGAAGTCCTGCTTTGTTCCCAAACATGGCTACACTAAACTTCTATTTCCTCTTATAGCTACCAACATCAATTAGTAGAAAACTTCAATACATCTCTTGTTTTCACCAAGATAATACAAATAGGAATTACCAAGGTACATAAGTCAAAAAAGTTAGCACCAAGGTACATAATCCAATGAGATAATGCCTCCTAACTCCTAAGGTCTGAAGGCGCATGACCTAGAAATTGAGATAGGTACTGTAAGGTTAAATATGGCTGAAGAAACCTCATAAACATTAGCTTGTGGACTCCTCTTCTGAGGGGATCCAAAAGCCCAGTGCCTGGTTCATTTCAAGTGAAATTTCTGGAGCTTAACTTCAGTACATAAGAGTGCTAATGTGTAACAGTTTTCATTAAAGCTAAGATTGCAGCGAGCTAACAATCTGCTACTCCCCATTATAACACACCAACTGGAAAGCTTTGTGAAAATGAAAACTTAGCAAAGAAAAGTATATCATTATTATTATTATTATTTATTTTTTTTTATTTGCACCGGGTGTCCGAGTCTCTAAGAGCCCCGACTAATCCCGGGGGTGCACAGGCCCTCGGCAAGGAGTTTCCCGCAAGTGCACCACGGTTAATTCAGGTTTTACCCAGTCCGATGGCCCTCAGAAATTGTTTGCACCCAGTGAGTTTCGAACTTGAGACCTTGAAAGGGAGCAAACCCCAAGGCTCAAGTCTATTGCCACCAGGCCAACCCCTGAGGGTTATATCATTATTATTATGATGCTAGCAATAACCTAAATCTCATTTAACTTGCGGAAAGCAAAACTGATTGCTACATTTAGTTGAAGTCAGTTTTATTATTTGTAGTCAATTTGAAATAAAAGACAAGTTACAAACGTTTAGTAATGGTAGTTATTATGGTTCTAATGGTAGTTATTATGGTTCTAATAGCGAAAATAGCTCTGTCTCCTATCTTCCTCCCACCATACAATTATCCATCCAACAACCACGAAGGCAAATACTTATCTGAATTTATTCACCACCAGTATGTGTGATAATGATCAGCAAAAGCTTTTAAACTTCCTCTGCCAATTATAGGCTAGTGAATCTCACCCTTAACATATATCAAACTCGCCAGCCCTGGATAGAAACAAAAGCTTGAACCACCATGATGCAGATGGCTGGATATGGATCTAGCCCCAGTGGCTGCCCTCGGTCCTCACTACTTCTTCCACACATCTTTTTGTTCAAAAAGCTCCACCACTTGTTCA